CCCCGACCGATCGACGAGGAGGAGAAGGAGGAGGAGACAAAGGAAAACGGGGAATGACGAGATGAGACCAATCGCAAAGCGACTCTACGATAGAAGGAACTACCCCTGAGAGCAGACCGCCGTCTCAGCTTTACTGAGCACCTCTGTCCACAGCCCTCGGGAGACTATGATTCGAGAGACCCACGCCTGGCTCTGGTGAGCGGGGCGGGGGAGACACTGCGCAGGACCCCGCAGCTGAGATTGCCTGTGGTGCCCGCGTGACCCGCAGAGCCACAAGCCTGAAGCTTCGCGGAATTCCAAGCCATGCGAGTCGTGGCCCCACCCCCCAGCGAGACGCAATCGCCTCCCCGACGACAACCTCAAGGTGGGGCCAGACCACTTCTCAAGACCAAAGCAATCACGGACCAGCCAACGCGGTCTCTCCGCATCAGACTCTGGACCCCTACAAACTTGACAACGAGCCAGCCTTGCTGCGAGCAACACGCCAGTGGTCGGGAGAGAGAACACAAGCAACAGCACCAGCACCGAGCGGACCAGCGGGAGCTCCACTCAGAGGGAGGGAAGGGGAATCGGCTTCCGAATAAAAGGAATTCTCGCTGGGTGGGTCTCAACAGAATCACTCCGGGTCGAGCTGACAAACCGGACGACAAGCACCGACCCTAAGAATTCACGGGAGTACCACCCCTCGAGCATGGATCTCCCTCGAACAAACGCAGAAGCCATTCGAGGAGAAGGCCGGAGAGGAGCACGCGGGGGGCGGACACTCGGGATCCCCAGGATTGGGCTCGTCAGCCCCAGGGCCCACTTCGTCGTTCATTGGTTCATAACCGAAATGGCACCCTTCCGAAAATGCAGGAGCCTCGAGATCCCTCGCGCCGGGGGAGACCTGACCCTGATCAGGGGTGAATGCAGCAAGCAGACCATCATCGGGCCTAGCAGCGCTGACCACATCGCCGAGAAGAGAGCGCACACGCTCACGCTGCTCTTCCTCGGCCAGCCCCTGACGAAAGGCCAGCCCCCTCGTAGGCTTGTAAGACCTAGGCCTAAGCTTTTCCTGCGCCTGGGGTCCAGAAACCCTTGGAAAACGCTCAGGAAGAATCAGGGCCCTGGTTGCGGGTTGGGCCCCCGACCCCTGAGCTGGAGAACCAGAGCACAGCGGCCGTTCCAAGGCACATCCCGGATCGCCTGCGCACCCAAAATGCACGGGGGTCGCGGGCTCAGAGGCAAGAACAACATCGATGTGCGAGGATCAACTAGATCCAACAAAAGTGTGCTCCACGAGAGACTGCAGCACTGACGCCCCAAGCTTCCGCACGAAACCTGAACGCTGGAGCTCGAACGGAGCGACGTTGAATTTTCCGAGCACTACCCATGGGAGCTGAATGGCCTGTAGAAGGGACCACCCAAAGGCTCGCGAAACTAGCAAGAGCGTCTTGGCCAAATCCGCAACCACTCACTCCGTAGAACGTGACAACAACAATGCTATAGCCCTGCCCCTGGACAGCTAATGGCAAACAAATATGCAGCATGTTCGGTTCTGATAAGCACAGGCCCACGAAGTTCCCAACAGCAAGTTGATGAGTAGCACGATGGCCTTATGAGACAAACATATCACCACCTTACCACCTTCATTCGCACGCACGCGTCGCACGCGTCGATGGAAGCCGAGCTGGGCTGGCAACACACTTCCACTTAGGTTGTCTCGCGTTTTTGATGGCACGAGAAGAATGTGTACTACTGACGAAGGTCTCGCACAATGCGATATGCCGAAATGCCTTGCGAACCGCAGGTTGCACAACCTAATCCCGAGCTCTGCGACCCCAGAAAGTAACGCTGCTGAAGAAAACCTGCACCGATGCGCCTCCCCTGTTTTAGGTGCTGGGTCGCAGGCGGAAATAGACTCGACGGTAGAAGGGATAGTCGCCAGCGTAGGGGGCGATCATGATCCCCCGGAAGCCCCTGAGGCCCCTGACGCACCGGCAGCCGCGCCCGAGCCCGAGTCAGAAGATGCCGAGACTGAAGTCCCAGAAATACCCGAGCACACTATGCTCGCACTCGCTCTCCCCGCAGACGAAGCCGCTGGACTGGGGGGCGTAGTACCAGCGGCGCTCGACGATCACTTGTTCCTCGAGCTCCTGCCAAAGCTCTTGGCCGCCGCAGCCGCCAGAGCCGCCTGGACAGCCGTTGTGGCTGCCGCCGCAGCCGCCGCCTCGTTGGCTTCACGAATGCGTTTGACCTCCTCGTCGATGCGCGCCTCACTGTCGGCACTGCTGTCAGTGGCCGTTGTCGTAGGTGTCGTAGGTGCCATTGAACCTTCTGTACTGTTCGCCTCAGTCGGTGCCAAAGGCGCTGCCACACCTGGACCACCTGTACATGCTTCATCTCCGCCCTGGGGTTTGCCGACGTCGACCTCCCTCTTCTTGACGGCCTTCTGGAGAGCTTCCATGCGATCCCGCCAAGCAGAGATATGGTCACCCTGGGTGTTGAACAAGGTCTTGGTCGTGCGCAAGTCTTTCTCGAGCTGAATGAGTTCGTCCATATATGCCTGCTCGCAATAAAACTCCCACGATGCAGCGCCTGGTACCTCTCCTCATCCCATTGCGCTTCGTAGAGCTTGCATTCCTTGTCGGCCTAAGGCGAAACTGCTGCCGTCTCAAGTTCGATGCCCACCTCCTCGGCGATCGCACGGGCGGCCAGCCTCTTCGCATCTCCGTCTCAACCAACAAGTGCACTGCTTATGTGTCTTTCAGCTCCGCCCCCGAACAACTCTCCATCACATCGAGCGGCTGCCGTCGCTTGGTCATGTTTGGAATTCGCATGCTTCCAGGCTACATACCCCCGCCCTCCATGCCGCCTCTGCTGCCGACACAAACGGTGGCTGGGGCGCTGCCGACCGCTGCTGGACAGCAACCCAAAGAGCAGCACGGAGAAGAGAATCCGCCGTCACGCCCAAGACTGAAGGGGCCCAGGGACACACAAATAAATACACACAAAGAACAGGATTCCACATATTTTCCCATATCTTCTGGGTTTTTGTCTTCCCCCCTCTTCCCATGTTTGCCTATATTTTCTGCGGGGTCGACGACTATTTGTGTCTGTGTGTTCTTGTTTCCCTCCTGGAAGGCTTGCGTCGGAACCTCGAGGCGCGGGGCCACAGCTTTGCCGAGGCGCTCCCCGCCTCAAGACAACATCGGCCGCCTCCCGGTGCCTCTGCTCGGGTTGGTTTATCGTAAGCCGGGAAAAGGCTGCTAAATCCGTGGCTGCTAAAATCGACCTCCGGGAGGCTGTCTTCGTCCTTCCGGGAAGAAGCCCGTTGACTGTTTCGCGTGCCGCGCCTCATTCCGGGAAGTTGTTTTTTCCTTCCGGGAGGGCCGTTTTAGCAGCCACGGTTGTAGCGGCCCTCGCCAAGCTGCCGAGTCTATCTTGACCTGTCGGTGGCGCGTTGAACATCTGTTCCCCAGCGCGTGCAAAGCACCATTCCACTCGCGAGTGTGGCATCCCGCACCTGCCGTGGCTGAGGGACAGGAGGCAGAAGAACGGACGCACGGTAGAAATGATCCGCTGTCGCCGCGCAGAACGCCTGGCTGAGAGGTGGCCAGGAGGCTGCGCGCCCTCGAGCGCCGCGTGGCGGCGCAGTGTGGGCTCCCGCCAAAACTGCTTCAGGCGAGGAGGAAAGAGGGTAAGAGGGGAGAATGAGAAGAGGAAAGGGAGGAGGGGAAAAGGGAAGAAGAGGACGAGGGGAGAAGGGAGAATGAGTAGGAGGAGGCGGAGGAGGAACAACAGCAGGAGGAGGAAGAGGAGGATGAGGGTAGGAGGAAGGAGGCAGGAGCGAAAGAAGGGGGAAGGAGGGGGAAGAAGGAGGACAAGGACAAGGCGCTCGGAGGGTGACGTCGGCGGCGGCAGCAGAAGCAGCCGCAGCAGTGACGCTTCGGGTCCCTCTGCGTAGTTATACCCTGGGCGACCCAAAAGGGGGTCCAGCAGCAAGGGGGTGGTGCAATAGATTTGGGGCAATTGTATTGCAAACGTATTGCGCAGGAGAATTGTATTGCATTGTATTGCAACTAATGTATTACACACGAAAATCCAGCAATACATCTGCGCCCCGGAATGTATTGCACGCCCCAAATGTATTGCAACCCCAAATCTATTGCACCAAATCTACTGCACCACCCCCTTGTCGCTGGACCCACTTTTGGGTCAACCCGATATACGCATGAGGAGGAGAAGGCAGAGGAGGGGGAGGGAGGCGGCGGCGGCGATACGGTGTCGGGCCGAAGGTCGAGATACCCTGCCTAAAAACAAACTCCGACAGCATGCGGAGATGTGCGACCTAGCGTGGAGGAGGAGGAGGAGGAGGAGGAGGAGGAGGACGACGAGGAGGAGGAGCAGGAGGAGGAGGAAGGGGAAGAGGAATGCGGCATGAGGAGCAGGGCGGGGAGGACCTCCGGCTCCGCCCTCACCTCCGCGGCCACCTGCAGCAGCGCGGCGAGGAACCCCGGCGCGCGCCCCGCCGCCGCCAGCTCGGCCTCGGCCTGGGCCCTCTCGGGGGCGGCTGCGCTGAGGGAGCCGCGCAAGGCCCCATTGCTCGCCACGGAGGAGAAAAGGCTCCTTAATCCAGACCTCACTGCACCGACCTTGCAGACGTGCTGCAGCGGATTTGTGCATGGAATTCTGTGCATGCAAGACCCCGAGACGACGAGCGAAAGACGATGTGAACTTCACGTGGATTTTGTTGTAGTCTTCATTCCTGGTCAAAAAATCCGCGCGAAATTCACTTCGAAATCCGGGACGAAATTCTCCAGGACAGTTCGGGCCCATCCCATTGCTTTCCGAACAAAATCCGCTCTGCGATGTTGGCGCCATGACAAGCTCCCTCGAGCCATGGAAAAAAACACGACGGGAGGCTCTTCGCTACTTCCGGCCTCTGGGGACCCTCACCAGGCCCCCGGGACCATCCAGAAACGGCCCCAGTTGAGAAAAAACTGGCCCCCGAGATGGGCCGAGACTTCTGGGGGTCGACGTCGTCGGCGGCGGTGGCCAGCCCCGACCTTATCCCTATCCCCGAGACTGGCAAGCCCAAAGGCGAGGAGAGTCTTGGGGATGGAAGCCCAGAAAGCTGGGGGGGAAGCCTGAAGACCGACAGTTGAAAAATCGTCCCCCGACTATTGTTGACTATTTTTGAATCTTCCCCCTGTAGAGGGACAGGCCCGACTTAGGGATAGGGATATGTTTCGGGTTGGCACGCGGGGGGCGCACGCTGGAGGTAGAGGCTCGAGGCTCGAGGCATCGAGGATCGAGGCATCGAGGCATCGAGGCATCGAGGCATCGAGGCATCGAGGCATCGAGGCATCGAGGCTCGAGGCTCGAGGCTCGAGGCATCGAGGCTCGAGGCTCGAGGCTCGAGGCATCGAGGCATCGAGGATCGAGCATCGAGGCATCGAGGATCGAGGCTCGAGGCATCGAGGATCGAGCATCGAGGCTCGAGGATCCAGGATCCAGGCCCGGACCTGCCCGGGCTGCGGGAACGGGTCACGACGGAGGGCCGCCGGCCTGCTCCTCGGCCTCCGCGGGGCCTCTCGCCGCGCCGCCCGGGAAGCACAGAGAACGGCTTGCCCGGGGGCTTCTGGAGGGTCCCCGTCGTGAAAAAAATTAAAACAAAATTAAAGAACAGAAAAACAAAAAACAAAACAAAACAAAAAAGCCTGAGTTGAGGAAGGGGGGCCAGCAAGAGGACGGTCAGCGCACCGAGGCCCAGGGAATGCGCGCGGACGAGGGGGCGGGTCAGGGAGCGTAGACTGAAGAAGGAAAGGGCGCCATGCAATCTAGAAGATATCATTGCCACGGCCCTGATTCCACACACACACACACACACACACAGTTTGGCGTCGCGGCCCTGCGCGCAGCGACAGAGCGCAGAAGGTCGAAAAGCAGCAACCGCGCGCGCGACCAACACAAACACACACACACACATTTTGGCGTCGCGGCCATGCGCGCAGCGACAGGGCGCAGAAGGTGGAAGTGCGGCAACCCCGCGCGCGCGTCTAACACAAACACTCACGCACACACACACACACACACACACACACGCACACGCACGCACGCACCACGCTAACGCACACCCACACGCCAACACACAACCGCACGCACCAACACCACAACCACTCACACACTACACACTAGCTCTCTAACAACACTAAAACACTATCAACACTAACCACCACAACACACACACACATACTATACATACACTCACACACAACTCACATACACACACCACACACACGCACACACACACCCACCCACACACGACGCACACACACACACACACACTCGCACACACACACACACACACACCACACGCACACACACAGCCACACACACACACACACACCACACACAACACACACACACGCACACACACACAACACACACACGCACACACACAACACACGACACACACACACACATAATCGCAACCACACACACACACACACACACACACACACACACACACACACACACACACACACACGCACGCGCACGCACGCACGCACGCACGCACGCACGCACGCACGCACGCACGCGCACGCACACACGCACGCACGCATGATCCTCATCCCCCACCTTGGACGCCCCCGGCCTGCGACCTTCGCGTCCTCGGGCCCCCCGAGGGCCCTCCCCGGGCCGCGGGGCCGCCACCAAGGACGACCCCCTCTCCTGCGGAGCTGGCCCCCCGGGAGACGGGCCCCCCGAGCGGAGGACCCGCTCCCCTCCGGGCCCCATCGCCCCCGTGGCGACATACAGCGCCTCCGCGTGCACAGCGGAGCGCGGCTGCATGGCAGGGCCCCGCAGCAGCCCAGCGCTCGGCCGGAGGGGGGAGGAGGGGGGGCAGATCGCCCCTCGAGCGAGCAGAAGGGAGGCCTCTGGGGGCGCCCTAGGCCCCCCAAAGGAGGAGGAAGAGGACTCGGCAACTGCGCGCGGTCTATGCCGCGCCCTGCTCGCGCTCGCAGACGCGCAAGAGAGCCCGGAGAGGTGGAGGAGGAGAAGGAGGAGGAGGG